GCAGGTCTGGGGTCCTCTGCCCCGGGGGTTATTCACTGTGGGATTTCTTCCCTTTGGTAAACACACTTCACCTTAGAACCTTCTCTAGGAAGTGCCCTGCCCTGACGCTCATCCTCAGTGGCCTGCGGTTCAGACGGAGAGGAGCGCTTGGCTGGGGCTCAGGGAGGCCCCTGAGGCCGTCCCATCACTACTGCGGGTGATGCTCGCATGGGGACCGGGGCAGAGCAGGCGAGCCTGGTGGACGCACAGTGTTTTAGCTGCCCTTCTCTGGCCAGAGCCGACTGGCCTCGTTCTCCTGAGCAGACGGGGTGGAGAAAGGCTCAGCGCCTGTCCCGGCGTGGAGGGCTGGCTGTGCACACTGTCCACCCTGCAGTGCCCTGCCCGTCACCGTCTCAGCAGAGGCAGCTGAGCGCAACCAGTGCCTTAAAAGGAAAATGGGGAAGGTCTGAAAGTGTGTCCAGAAGGGGGCCTTTTCTCTCGTAACAGAACTTCAGAGACATTTAAGAGTCAGACTGTACGCACCAAAACGTGGATCGTCCGCAGGAGGATTTACTGTTACTAAGAACTTCACCTCTTAGTAGAATACACGCTTGGTGCTTCATCAGTTTCGGGTAGAATTTTTAAGTTGCTCCGTCTCTGGACTGTGCAGTCCGGTGTATGAACATAACTCTACCTAAAATCACAGGCCTTGATCTTTGGAAGAAGTTTGATCACATAAACTTGGTAATTTTTTTTTTTTAGGATTAAAGTTAAGCTGGACCGCAGGGGAGTGGTTCAGGACTTCATTACTGCCCTGGACCAGCTCTCTGACCCCGAGATGCTCTTCAAGGTAGTGTGGCGGCTTCCGGTCAGTCCGGCGTAGAGCAGCCTTGTAGGCCTGCTTGCAGCCTGGCTTCACCTTCCTTTTCTCTGCACAGGACTGGACTGAGGATGTCAAAGTTGAACTGGAAAAAAACCCTGTCAATAAGGAGAACATCGAGAAGATGTACGGGAAGCTGCGTGCGGCCCTGGGGGACCCGGACGCTCCCGGCCTCGGGGCTTTTCGGAGGAAGTTCGTTCAGGTGTGCATGATGCAGGCCGGTGTTCGTGTTTGCTGGTTGCTGGTGATTCTGGTGTGAAGGTGTCGTTGAGTTTGTAACCTTCCTTCAGATTCCTGCTGCCCACTAGATGCTGATGGCTGATTTGGGGTCAGATGGTGGCAAGTGGGCCCCAGGTGACCTTGGAGTGTGTTACATTCTGCTCCCCGTGGGCCGGTTCTTAGGTGTGAAGGTTACAGGAAGGATCTGGATGTCGAATGAGGATGGTACCTGTATTAGCTGTAGGCTAATGACCACGTGTGAGTGCGTCCCTCTTCGAAGGCCCACTCTGGTGCCCAGGAGGTGGAGGGTGGCCTGACCCTGCGGGGCACTGACTGCAAAACTGCAGCATAGCTGCCGTGGCGTAGACAGGCCAGGACAAGGGCAAGGGCGTCGGTTTGGGGGTCTGGATGTGACAGGCTCCTCCTCCCCTTGCCCGTCCTGTCTCCCGCCCTGCGTTGCCTGCACCCTCACCAGCCGGGAAGTGGGCGGCCCTCCCTGCCTGCGCACCTCTCCCGGCTGCGTCGCGCTGATTTCTTTTTTCCCGTTTTGGCCAGACTCCCTTTTTTTTCATCAAACCTCAAGGAGTTTAGGAGCTCAAGGGAGCAGTCGCCCAGCCCTGTGGTCTCTGCAGAGGGGCGTCTTTGTCCCTCTGGGCTCAGTGAGGCCTTGTGCAGACAGACCTCAGTGCCCAGCTGCCCACCCGGCTGTGCACGGCGCTGCCTTTGGTTCACGCCCTGCAGGGAGGCCCCCTCCCCCCAGCATTCGTGCACGCGGTGCCCACGTGTGGCCGGCCTCTCGGCATCACTGCTTTGGGCCGGGTCGTCCCCCATCCTGGAAGTCCTTTCACCCTCAAGGGACACCTGCCCACTGGAGGGGACACTGGATAGGGCTCTGTGGGGAGACCATGCCCCGAGTTAGACCCTCCCTGACCCCGGGACAGGCGTCTTCAGCTTGAGGAGTAAGCCGGCGGTTCTGACAAGTGGAGGAGCTGTCTGTTGCCTGCATGTGACCAGGGCTGTGTCCAGAGTGAAGCTAAACCTCTAACTCTCTGCACGCACTTCACCTGATGACACATCCCGGGCCCCACAGCAGCCCCGCCCAGGGAGCAGGGCGTGAGCGAGCAGCACACTGGGTCCACCTGCAGGCCAGGGAGGAGCCGTGTGTTATGCGGGTCACTTCTCCCACGGTGCATTGTCTAAACCAGGTTTGTGACGTGGGATTCATTCTAAATTTGGAAAAAAATTTTAATTGAAGTTGATCAGGTAAATTTTGACAACTATTCAGTCGCCATTAGTCAAAATTTGGTACGTTCCAAGGTTAAGTTCTTAATTTCTAGAATTATAAATTATCCAAATCATGTTTCTGCTGGTTTATGATCCAGAATAACGACTTGAAAAGTCCTCATTAAGGAAGGGTCTTGTCTTAGGTTCATTTCTGTGGGATTACTCCCTTCATCCTGTACTTTGTTACCCCTTACCATAGTGGAGCAGGTCAGCGACTGGGCAGTGGACACGGGTTAAGGGCTTTCCCGAGTTTAAGGTCCCTGTTAGGACTCGGGCCTGGAAGTCACGCTGACCACCGTCCTGCCCGTCTTCAGAGGCACAGAGAGGCACAGAGAAGCAAACCGTAGGCAGGCCGCGGGCTTCAGTGCGCTGAAACATTCAAGGGATGAGAAACTGTCCATCTTAAAAGCACAGGAAAAACACCTGTGTAACTGGGTACCTGTTTGTGATAAGTATTCACAAGGCTAGAACCTTTTCAGACTTTCAAGCCGTTAATATTTAAGGTAAATTATTGTTAATTTCAGGCTTTTGGGAAAGAATTTGATAAACACTTTGGGAGTGGAGGCTCCAAGCTCCAGAGCATGACACCTGCTGACTTTGGTGCTGTCACCCGCACGCTGCTGGCCAAAATGCGCAGGGACGTGAGGGTGCCCGGCAACCTGCAGGAGTGCTCACCCTGGATGAGTGGCTTCCAGGCGGACTTCCTGAGAGACGAGCTGGAGGTCCCAGGTGAACCAACCTGCAGGGGATGGAGGGCGCCTGGAGCAGAGTCGTGCAGGAGCAAGAAAGGGCGATTTTGGAGCGAGAGCGTGGCATCGTGGCAGTTTCTTTCTTGCTTTAAAAAGAATTTTAAATTCCACATGTTTGTCATCATTAGGAAAATCTGTAATTGCTGTGAGTAGTACACTCACTAAACGTCTAGCTTACATTTCTGAGTATAACAAGTGCTCAGATGTCCATCTGCTAATAATGGTAACTGGTGATTTCCTCTGAAACTGCCCACATGCCACCCTGAATAACCTTTGTTCAGAAATAAGATACAGGCAGCCTCAGAGATACTGTGGGTTTGCTTCCAAACCACCACCACAGAGCAGGTTAAAGCAGGTGGTTTCCTAGTGCATGTAAGTTATGTCTACACTGTACTGTAGTCCGTTCAGTGTGCAGCAGCATTATGGCTAAGAGAACAGTATATGTGCCCTAATTAAAGAATAATTTATTGCTAGAAAGTCTAACCATCTTCTGACAACTGAGGGGTGCTACAGATCTTCAGTTTGTGAGAACTGCGGTCTCTCTGACATGCAGTGGAACGAGGTGCACCTGCACAGGTGTAGTGCCCTCACCTCCTGGGATGCACGCTGGTCCCACCTGGAGCGACAAGGTGACGAGACATGGCTCACGCAGGGAAGGACGGTGACACTCAGGACAGACACAGCACGGTGGTCAGGCGTGAACACAGTGTGATTTCCACATTTTGTGTCTTCACCCTGCAGTTTGCCAGACAAAAAATGTTTTAATACGGTGACATATTCCAGTGATATAAGAAAACATATTTGGAGAAACATTTTGCTATTTTTAACAGTTGTGCATTAGATACTGTGAGTTTCAAGGAAAACACTGAAAACGGAGCCGCCTGATACGAGCTTGACTCTGCTGGAAGGTGGCAGCTCCAAGCCCTATTTTTCCTGCATCTGGTGTGTCTGCCCCAGCAGAGTAGGAAGCTGACTCCTGTTAGTCAAATTGAGAAATAACAGCTTTTTTTCAGAAGTCCACTTTCTAGAAGTGAAGACTTTCAGTAAAAAGTGTTACCATCATAGATTGATAGGTGTGTTTTAAAGTGTGGGGTGTGTAACAGGCAGCGTCCAAGCCCAGCTCCTGTGGTCTGTCCAGGGCAGTACGACGGCCGAGGGAAGCCGGCGCCGGAGTACCACGCACGGATCGCGGGGTTCGACGAGCGGGTAAGTGTGGGGGACCAGCCTCCACGGCTGGGTGGGTGGCCTGGGGGCACTTCCTCAGACATCAAAGACAGGACAGTTAACTTCCCTGATGGTCTCAAGTGCACGGAGCTGTCGAGTGGGAATTCACTGGACGGAACATTCACTGTCTTTCTGCGTCAGTCACGACCAACCCAGAGTAAAGTGTGCATGTCTGTGGTCGAAAGTGCGTGCAGGGAGCCAGCTGGGGACTCGCCGGGGACGCCCGACAGCAGCCCCGCGCATCTCCTCCCCCGAGGGTGCACCCTGTGGGGACAGTTGGCGGGCATTCTGGACGGCACCTCATATGTTCCCAACTGTTGAAGGTGAGAGTCATGGCTTCTCTGCGGAGGCCGAAGCGCATCGTGATCCGTGGGCATGACCAGCGGGAGTACCCCTTCCTGGTGAAGGGGGGCGAGGACCTGCGGCAGGACCAGCGCATCCAGCAGCTGCTCCAGGTCATGAACGTCGTGCTCTCCCAGGACGCCGCCTGCAGCCAGCGCAGCCTGCAGGTGAAGACGTACCACGTGGTGCCCATGACCTCCAGGTGCGGTGCGGGAGGCCTGTCGAGTTTTGCCGGGATGGGGGCATGGGGTGCGGGTCTCGGGAGACCTGGGGTTCCAGGTTTCATGAGACAGAGCTAAGCAGAGAGGACGCTTCTCAGCCCGCAGTGTTCATCCTCGGGGGACAAGTGAGGGAGGACCTGGGCTTGGGAGGGCAGGATGGTGAGGCCCATGTTCATAACTTGCTCTCCTTTCAGACTGGGGTTAATTGAATGGATCGAACATACTTGCACCTTGAAGGAGCTTCTCCTGAACAGCATGTCCCAGGAGGAGAAGGGAGCTTACACCAAGTGAGTGGGGTCCAAGGGCTCCTCCTCCGCCCTGCTTGGCCCCTGGCCTGTTGCCTGCAGTTCACCCCTGCTCCTCCTGGGACCTTCTTAGGCCCTTTAGTTGGTCCCCTTGGCCAAACCTGGCCTGTGCTTTAATCTGCATCTGGCTGCGTGAACACATGAGATGGAGTAGAGGGTTCCAAAGAGTGGTTACATATAGCTTACCACATTTCAAGAAAATTAATCTTGAAGAAAAGATCGTTGAAAAAATAAAACAATAAGATGGGCAGCTTTTTTTTTTAAATTAAGTACAGTCAGTTACAATGTGTCAGTTTCTGGTGCACAGCGTCACGTCTCAGTCATGCATATATATACACATACATTGGTTTTCATCTTCTTTTTCATTAAACGTTATTACAAGGTATTGAATATAGCTCCCTATGCTGCAGGGAAGACATTTGTTTATCTGTTTTTATATATAGTGGTTAACATTTGCAAATCTCAAACTCCCAAGTTTATCCCTTCCCACCCCCTTCCCCTGGTAACCATAAGATTATTTGCCATGTCTGTGAGTCTGTTTCCATTTTGTAGATGAGTTCATTAGTGTCCTCTTTTTTCTTTTTTCCTTTTTTTAGATTCCACATATGACTGGTATCATATGATATTTGTCTTTCTCTTTCTGGTTTACTTCACTTAGAATGAAGGTCTCCAGGTCCATCCATGTTGCTGCAAATGGCATGATTTTATTCTTTTTCAGGGCTGAGTAGTATTCCATTGTAGAAATCTAACACAGCTTCTTTGCCCAGTCATCTGTTGATGGACATTTAGGCTGTTTCCACGTCTTGGCTGTTGTAAATAGTGCAGGCAGCTAACACTTAACAAAGTGTTTTCTGTGTCCTGGTTACTGTTCTCAGTTTGTAGCGTGTGTGAAGTCATTTATTTTTTACAAAACCGACCATGTGAGGAGCTTCCTCCCCTCCGTGCAGAGGAGGTGGCTGAGGTGGGAGGCGTGTGGTGTGTGCAGGCTCATGACTCATCAGTCACCGGTCACCACACAGGTGCTTTTTTTGTTTTTGAAAAGAAAAATATGAACAAGGTGGCTTAAAGACATTTTGAAGGAGGAGTTGACAAGTTTTGGTCCAGTGGCAGGATGAAGGGGAGGAAGTGGTCCTGAGTGGCTTCAGGGCCATTTCCCCACCGTGGGAGCCATGTTCCCATCCGACTCTGTCCCGGGGAATGGCTGCTGTGCAGGGCGGTGTTCACCACCTTTTACTTTCAGTCATTTGAGTCCTTTGGCTGTCCTGTCAGACGGACCCCCTGGAGTCCGAATCCCAGCTCTCACTCCGTGTGGACTCCCAGAGGCCTTCCCTGTCCCCAGGCCGCCGTTTCTATGATGGGAAATTATGTAGAAGACACGTGGTAGACACAGGTGTCAGCAGAGTGTGGCATGCTTTTCAAACATGCAGTTGTGTAAACCACTTCCCACCACCTTTAACCCAGGGCAGCCTCCTGCCGCTAAACCCTTTGCTGTTTTTTCCTTAACTCAAAGGTGGCAGTTTTCCAACCTAATGATTACTCATCCAGTTGAAACTAAGAGAGAACTTACATGGAAATGGAGTGTCTATTTACAAAATTAACTTAGTAGCAACTCAGAAACGGTTCACCTTCAGTGATTTAACTGCTAAGTAACATGTTGTGAAGTTGTTCTATTGTTAGATTTTTGGTTTTTTAAGGAAAACTCATTAAAGCTTTGGATACAAACCTAGAAGTGGCTAAAGATACAAATATCACATTGTGTCCAGCTGCCCAGACACTGTATTTTGTCTGTGAAGCATTACTGAAAACAGCTTTTCAAATTCAATTCAAATTCATTGTCATTTGTGTAAATACTTTATAGAATTTAACATAGACTTCATCTGTATCTGCACACTGGAAATGGAAAAAAAAGTGTAGCGATGTTTAAATAACGACAGAAGCAGAAAATCCATCTCAACAAAGAGCTTGTGGTCCTTTTGTTCACAGTAGCGACTTGCCTGCTTTGTCCTGTGTGAGGGTTCCTTCCTGGGTCAGACGCGCAGACCGAGCGCTGGGTCACTGCGCCCGTTCAGCCCCTCCTGTTCTGTCTGTGTGAAGCGGGAAGTTTTTAGTATCTGGCTTCTGTGCCTGCCTTTCTGCATAGGAAATAGCCATGGTTCTTCAGGAGTGATGAAGAAGGAGTAACGAGGTATTGGAGTTCTAGGTCCACAGGAGTGTGGGTTCAGCGTTAGTATCAAGTAGGATTAAGAGGCACACTTACTTTTCCTGCCTCTTCACTGGTTTTCAATGACTTCCTCCTGGTCTCCGGCCCTGAGATATGTGACGCCAGGTCTCTTCCTAAAGCTGATCCTTTGTCCTCTGTCAGCGACCCCAGAGCCCCGGCGTTTGAATACAGAGACTGGCTGACGAAGGTGTCTGGGAAGCATGGCCCCGGGGCTTACCCGCTCGTGTACACGTGAGTGTCGTTCGGCTTTTCCTTTTTCCTGACGAGCTCATTCTTCTCTAAGTTGCATGTTCACTTTTGTTTCTCAGTTCTGCCCGACAGGGACTGTCAGGATCTGGTTATTTGATATTTGTTTGAGCTTCAGTAAAGCAAAGAATTTCGCATTTCAAGTCACGAGCAGTTTGTTCTGAGACATTCCCTATTCTTAAACCCTAGGAGAGCCAGTCGCAGTGAAACAGTCACATCTTTCAGAAGAAGGGAGAGCAGAGTGCCAGCCGACCTCTTAAAGTGAGTGTGTTTCTGGCCCGTGGCCCCGGGGACGGGCAGGTGAGGGGCAAGCCTCACACCACCTCTCTGCAGACGGGCCTTCCTGACCCTGAGCACCAGCCCCGAGGCCTTCCTGGCTCTCCGCTCCCACTTCGCCAGCTCGCACGCCCTCCTGTGCGTCGGCCACTGGGTCCTGGGCATCGGAGACAGACACCTGAACAACTTCATGGTGAGCCTGGAGACGGGCGGCCTGATCGGCATTGACTTCGGACACACGTTCGGATCTGCCACGCAGGTCAGCCCGCCGGCTCTCTGTTCTCCGTGGCCTGGGGTCCCCTCGGGCTCTGGGACCACCCCCCCCCCGGAAGCAGTGGCTCGTTGTGGTTGTTAAGGGAGTGTCTTGGCTGTGTGTCAGCCTCGTTCAGGCAGGTGGTGGGGGCTGTGATGCAAAGTTACATAATCGGAGCTAAGAAAGCCGTGTCCTGCAGAAAGGGAGGACCGGAGGAGGCTGTATGAGGCCCCATGAACAAAACGTGGTGCACCAGCCTCCCCGACACCCGACTCTGAGTCTGCGTCTCCGGGGCCGTGCGCACGGAGCTGCACGGAGCTGCATCACACGGGCACGGGGCACGGGGATCTCGCCTCTAAGGGGCTGGTTCCTGCGCTCCCCGAATGCGAGTAACAGCCGTGGCCGGCGTCTGCTCCTGCTGGCCGCCGTGTGAGTTCGCGTCTGCTGCTGCTTACGCGTCTTTCTTCCTCTTTAGTTTCTGCCGGTCCCTGAGCTGATGCCTTTTCGCCTAACTCGCCAGTTTATGAACCTTATGTTACCGCTGAAAGAAACGGGGCTGGTGAGCAGCATCATGGTGTGTGCGCTGCGCGCCTTCCGCTCCCGCTCGGACCTGCTCACCGCCACCATGGACGTGTTTGTGAAGGAGCCGTCCTTCGACTGGAGGGTACGGTCGTCTCCACGCTCGTTTCACCTGTTTTACGAGTGACCGATCTGGCTTCTCCCGTTACCTGATGGAAACGCATCGTCGTTACTAAATACTTACATTGTTTTGTCTGGCATGTCTCAAAATTAACATTCGGGGTCATTTGGCTTGCAAGTCAGATGAGGCGTAATAACCTTCATCTGGAGAAAAGCATCGTTTCAGCTGAGACCATTTCTAACCCTTTGGTGATGTGGGTTCGATTCCTCTGAGACACTCTCAGTTCAGTCTGTCCCACACGAGGTCTTCCTTGATTAAATCTCCAGGGTTCTTCACAACACAGCCTGGGGTGGGGGGGCAGCAGTGGCGTCCATCGCAGGGAGTCACCTTTTAAGCCTGAGTGTCGCCCCTACGGCCGGGTCATCATCACCGTCTCCTGTGCTGCCGTGGGTTTAGCGAAAAGCTGCAGCGTCTCCCCAGCGAGATGCTTGTGTGCTTAAGATCATTACTTGTTTGGTCTGTTTGAATGTGATCATATATTCTTTTGTCGTAAGTGGAGAAAACCATGTTCTTTTCCTCCAGAATTTTGAACAGAAAATGCTGAAAAAAGGAGGATCCTGGATTCAAGGAGTAAATGTAGATGAAGAGAATTGGTACCCCCGGCAGAAGGTGCGCTGCGCCAGGAGGAAGTTAGCGGGAGCCAACCCGGCGGTCGTTACCTGGTAAGATGTGACTTGTGGGGGAGGCAAGCCCACCAGGCGGTCACTGCTGACGGCCGCTGGGCGCCATGTGCGGACGCGGCCTCGCAGACCGGGGGTGGGGGGGCCGGCCCAGCAGGGCGGCCCGGAGCCCCCGCACCACGCCTCTGGACGGCGTGTCGCAGGGTGTGTACCTGCACGAGGGACTCAGGTCCCATGTGTGCTTTTGTCCTTTCCAGGCAGACGTGACCCTGGTGGCACACCCCAAGGTGCAGAGAGCACACGGGGGTGTCAGCCAGTGTGTAGAGCGGCTCACCTTGGCCTCCACAGCTACAAGTAGGCATTTGTAGAAATGATTCACGAGGGAAAAAAGTTCAACTCTGCAGTTAATGAATAGTAAAAGGCGATCTCTAGTCTGTGGTCTGTTGTTTTTTCGGCAGAGGTGCTGAGACCATTTATTGGTCTTTCCAACAAATGGTGAAGGAGTGAGGGTGGAACTGCCCCCCCAGAGTCAATCCAGATGGATCAAAGCTGTAAGAGTTAAGAGTGTAAAGTACTTAGAAACGTGGGGTGGGTAGATCTTCAGACCTTGGACTTGGCAACCTTAACTGTAAAAGCAAAAGCACAAACAGGAAAGAATGAAACAGACAAATTCATCAAAATTAAAAGCCTTTGTGCTTCACAGGTTACCATCAAGAAAGTAAAAATACAGCCCACAGAATGGGAGAAAATAGTTGAAAGTCATGTGGTTGATAAAGGACTTGCATATAGAGTACATTAAAAACTCTTACAGCTGAGTGATAAAATGACCAAAGGACCAGAACAGACGTTTGTCTAAAGAGACACGAGGTGGCTGTTCAGCTCATGGAAAGATGCTCAGCGCTGTCGGTCAGGAGATAATGCAAATCACGCCCACCAGGCTGTGGCTGGTGAGGACGTGAAGAAGTTGGAGCCCTTGGATGTAGCTGGTTGGGCTGTAAAGTGGTGCAGCTCCTCAGAAAGTGGCCCCACAGCTCCGTCCTAGGTGTGGACCCAAGAGGCGTGAAGCCGTGACCACAGAAGCTCGTGGACGAGTGCTCCGTTTCCCTGAAGACCCAGGCTCCTGACTTCAGGGTTATGGGCAGCAGAAAGTATTCTGTGTGATGAGAGGGGGAGTTTGGATAGGAGTAATAGCGCATGGCTTGTGTTTCTGTATGTGTTTAATCTTTCTCCAGTGATGAATTGCTTCTGGGCCATGAGAAGGAATCTGCCTTCGAAGACTACGTCGCAGTGGCACGAGGCAGCAGGGACCACAATGTCCGGGCCCGGGAGCCGGACAGCGGGCTTTCAGAGGAGGCTCAAGTGAAGTGTTTGATTGACCAGGCCACAGACCCCAACATCCTCGGCAGGACGTGGGAGGGGTGGGAGCCCTGGATGTGAGGCCCGGAGGAGCCAGCAGGTGTGGAGCGTGCGGCATGTGGGCGATGTTGTAAACCTCACCTTTGCACATGGCACAGAGAAGAAATCTTGTATCATGAGTTTAATCAGGGTCGTGATGGAGAAGTGAATGCTGGTCTGGGTGGACGATTGGGTCACGATGAAAGATTAGGTTGGGGTTCAATCCCTAGCACCTCCTCCAAATATAAATAAACCAAGTAACGTCTCCCTCATTAAAAAAAAAAGTAAGAAAAAAAGCGAAAATACTAGGTCAGGGTTAAAACAGACCTAATAGAAAAGGCGTATCCAGGCCAGTGCAGGCCCCGAGTCGGACACAGCGGGTCACGAGGCTGTGCTCGGCCAGCAGCTCCCCGAGTAAGTGGCGAAGGAGACCCCGCACGTCAGAGTGACGGTCACGGGGGGGGGGGCGTGGTCAGCAGCACGAGGTGGTCACAGTGAAGCTGATGGCCTCTTACACCTAGTAATGACTGCACTTGACACTTAGGGTATTTTTGTAGGTTTTTTTCTTTCATTTTTTCTTTCTCTTCTAGTTTTGACACTTTATGACAGACTTGGTCTCTAGAAGAGGACGTATTAGGAGAGGTGAAAACCTGGGTCTCGCTTAGACGGACCCTTGCTGTATGGATCAGTCACATGAGGAAGGCAGACCAAAGTGCTTTCATCCCAGACTCAGGGTGACTTCAGAAATTCCGAGTGTGAAGGTAGCACTCAGCATTCCAGCTCTGGGGAAGGAAACGAAGACGCGGTGTGAAGTGCATCCTGCTGGGAGGTGACACGCCACCTGGAGCAGCAGGGCCGGGTCCCCCCTTGGCTCCGCCCCGAGCCCGTCCTCCCTGTCTGGAGCCATTCTCTGGTTGGCTTTGAGGTTTTCAATATTTTTTTTCAAATGTCTATAGTTAGAAGCTCTTGTATGATTTTGTAAGTTCTAGAATAAAGAACATTACAGTTTTTTCCCCCAAAGTAGTACCTAGCTTTTATGTAGTTTTAAAAGCAAAAATGTTCATCTTATAAATTACATCATTATATTACTTGACAAATTTATTTTGATAAATACAGGTTGAGTGCATATGGCACTAGAAGTAAACTTTATGTCCTCAAGAAATGGTGCCTATTCAACCAAAGGAATTTCATTTTTAAAGAAAAGTAAGTGATCATGCACATGAAAACTAGCACGCACATGAACAAGTAAGTATCTTTTGCTGTAGCACAGAAGGAACCAGAGTAAGCCACTTTGGACTTGAGTTGTTGTAATACTGTGTCTTCTACGACCGTGATTTTTGCTCGAGTCCTGGTAACGTGGGACTTCTTCATTAACTCAGTCCCCATGTTAGGGGAAACCCTGTTCTTAGTGACTACCTCTCACGCCAGTCAAAGTTCATTACCAGATGATGGTGCGTACTCCAGCCTCAAAGCTGTCTGCTTCCTCTGGACCCGCGAGAGCACGGTGAGGTCACCCGCAGGCGCCTGGGGTGTGAATGTCCTCGTCACCCGGAGGGGCCAGATGTACTTGGTTTGGAAGACAGGCAGTAAAAGACATCTCTGCTGATCTTAAGTGCATACCAGTAACATGAAGGGTGTTTTTATTATGCTGTTAAGCATTTTAATGTTTTTCAAGGGTGGAGGCCACATGCGTTTTCAGGACTTTAAGAGTTTTCCCCCCAGGTGGGGTAGACGAAGCCGCTTTCCCAAACTCACACGTCCTGGGGAGACAGAGCGGGTCACAGGAGCGCATGTGCAGGCCCCGGGTCCAGAGGTGAGACAGGCAAGGGGAGGGGTAGGAACGCGGCTCGAGGTCAGGTCCACGTCAGCCGCGGTCCTGCCGGACTCGCTTCTGCGTCAGAGTCAGCGTGGCTGCTGCTGTGACGTGAATGGTCACGTTCACCCTGGGAGCTGGTTCTGACGGTATATTCAGTTTGCATGTGAAACATTTGTTTTTTGACCCGAAAAGAACCCAGAAAGGTTCATACTTAAACTCAGTGGAGATGTGAATGATTCCATGCTTATGAGTATTAATTTGAGTATTTCATGGAACTAAGAGACAAGCCCCAAGTTCTCTCAGGCCGGGACGCCTGCACACAGCACACAGTCGCCACGATTAGATCAACTTCAAAAACTTTCTAAAGGGGGGTGGTTATAGCTCAGTGGTGAGCACGTGCTTAGCACTCACAGGGTCCTGGGTTCAATCCCCAGCACCTCCATTTAAATAAAAAAACTTTCTAGAAGAAATAAAAACTATTTCATCAACGTATGAGAACTTTGGGAGCGCTGGCGGCTGATGCCTGGGTGCTCCTGCCGAGGCGCACTGACCGTGGGGACCGTGTCTGGGAGGCAGGGCGCGCTGGCAGAAAAGCAGGGGCCCTGGGGTTTTGACTGGGGCTGCAGTCGCTCTGCAGATGGCTTTGAGGAGCTCTGGTATTTACAGTACGCCTTTCGCTCCACGAACACGGTGTCTTCCTTTGTTGTCTTTCATTTCTTTCAGCAGTGGTTTGTGATTTCCACTAGTTTTCAGTCTTTCTGACTTTCAGCCTCCTTGTTCACCTATACCCTTAGCCGCTGGATTCTTTCTGCTGCTGCTGTGTCTGTACGGACTGTGTGTGTGTGTTTGTGTAGGTTCCCAGGCTCCTTTCTGGGCTTTTCGGTGTTGGTGTGCTGGTCTTTTCTCCTGAAACTTCTTGCTGAATTAGCCTGTCAGCTCTGGTGCGTGTGTTGTGTGTTCTTCGGGGTTTTCTGTAGACAGGGTCGTGCTGCCCGTGACAGAGGCAGGTTTGCTGCTGCTCGTCCAGGCCGGTGTCTTCTCCTTGCCCGGTCGCTCCGGCCGGAACGTGCAGCACAGTGTCGAGCAGCAGTGCTGACGGTGGGCGCCCTTGTCTTGCTTCTGGTCTGAGGGGAGAGTTCTCTCTCTGGGGTTGTGTGGGTATGATGCAACCTGTGGGTTTTCATCAGTGTCTTCTGTCAAGGGGAGGAAGTTCCCTTCTGTTCTTGGTTCGCTGAGTGTTTTTATCGTGAAATAGTGTTGAATTTTATCGCACTTTTTTCTGCATCAGCTGAGATGAACCTGTGTTCTCTCTCTGTCGATGTGTCTTGTCACCACAGCTGGTAGGAGACGTGCGGGGCAGACCTGCTCCTGGTATTTTGTCGAGGATTTCTGCGTCAGTGTCCGTAAGGGACACTGGTCTGTAGTCTCCTCCTGGAGCTGCCGTCTGGCTCTGTTGTCAGGGTGATGCTGGTTTCATGGAATGAGTCAGGGCGTTCCCCTCCGATTCTCTCTGGAAGAGGCTGGGAAGCACCGGTGCTAATCCCTTCAGCGCTCAGCGCTGCGGCGTTACCAGCGGGGCTGCGTGGTGCTGGCCTCTTCCTTCTGGGAGGTTTCTGATTGCTGATTAAGCCTGTTGTTGCAGATCTGTTCAGATTCTCTGTTTCTTGAGTCATTTTTGTTACTTTATGTTTCTAGGACTTCTCGTGGGTCGGCATTTTTCTGTCTGTAAGGCTGATGACGGCTCCACTTTCAATCCTGGTATTAGTTATCTGCCTTCTCTTCTCTCCCCCGAATCAGTCTAGAAGAGGAAGTGTCAGCTCTGCTGAGCGCTTCCGAGAACCAGCGTCTGGTCTGCCGCACCCCTGCTCTCCCTGCCCCGTCTGCTTGTCCGCTGGCGTCGGGCTTGGTTGGCTCCCCGCTTTTGCTCCTTGAGTGCAGAGTCAGGCTGCTCGTTGGCAGTCTTTATTTTTTAGTGTAGGTGCTCAAGTGTGTTGAAATAAAATTTACATTTTGAGGCAGGATAGGAAAAATTAAACGTAAAATCTGTTTGGGCCCCTCGGTGCACCGCGCAGCACACCTCAGCCGGGTCTCCCCTTCCTTCTGACGCTAGCAATGTCATTTCTGAAAAGAAAGTACTTTCCCAGCTTCGTAGGGGGTCGTGGCCGCTAGTGGGTATGGAGCTGTTGTCGTCCTCCGTTTCCTTACCCTTCCTTCTTGATGTTCTGACCTCACCCCTGAAACGGGGGTGTCGAGGGCTCCGACCTCACTGTGGGTCGCTCCTCCCCTCAGTTCTGTCGAGGCTTGCTTTCTGCATGCGGAGGGATTTGCTATAAAGCTGTGACGTCTTTTTCATGGACTGACCTTTTCATCAGTACGAAGTGCCCATTCTTTGTCTCTTGTAACAAAGTCAGTTTTGTGACATCAGTAGCCAGGCCAGGCTTCTGTGGGTGCGTGGGAAATACTCTGCCATCTGTTCACTTTCAGTCTATTTGTGATTTTGGCTCTAAAATGAGTCACTTGTATATAGTTGGATTATGTTTTTATAATCCATTCTGCCAGCATCTCTAATTGGTGAGTTTAATCTAGCCATATATAAAATGACTTCTGATTAGGAAGTACTTACTTTCATCATCTTCCCATTCGTCTTCTATGAGTTTCACCTTTTTCCCCTGATTTCTTCCACAACTGTTTTGTGTTGGATTTTGCTCACGTATCATTTAAGCTCCCTCCTTGTCCCCTCCTCTGTGTGTCTACATTTTCTCCTGGGGGGGTATTACGGTGCCTGTGTTCACAGCAGCGCAGTCCGAGCTGACGCTTGGCTGCAGAAGCCCTGCTCCCACGGCCCTCTGTCCCGCCTGACGCTGCGCTGTCATCACACAGACTGCGTCCTGGGTGTTGTATTCCCATTAGCGTAGGTTTTTAATTACTGTTTTATGCATCTGTCTTTTAAATCCTATAAATATAAAATACATACTTTTTATTATATAGTTACCTTTGTCAGTGTGTCTGGGAAAGCCTTGTAATTTTTTGTTGAAAACTGGACATTTTGAACATGGTAATGCAGAAACTGTGGAAATCACTTTTTCTCGTTTCCAGGGTTTGCTGTTGTTTCTGGAGGGTCACGGCTGCCCGCTTTTAAACGGGCTTTTCCAAACTCTTTTTCTGCAGAGAGTGTATGTTCCTTGCCACGTGTGATGCCGGGGGTCTCTGTTCCATTGTTCCAATGATGAGCCAATGACAGAGAGTTCCCTGAACACCTGGCACCAAAAAGGCCCCTCCTGCACTTGGCAGGTTGGTTTGGCGCTGGGGCACCCCGCCCAGCGCGCAGCCAGGCCACCCGTGGCTCCACTGGCCCTTGACCTTGGAGCCCAGGGGTCGTGTGCACCCGGAGCCCCCCGAGGACGCTCCTCCTCTCCAGGCTGCTGCTTCTGTCTGCTCTGTGCCGGTTGCCCGTGGGTGGCACGTGTCTGTAAGTGCTTCTGACACTTGCCTCCTGGAAGCTGCCTGAGCTGAGGGGCAACGCCAAGGGGAGCCTTGGTGCCGGCCTCTCAGGTCACCACCACAGCTTTTTTAGAACGAGGTCCATGTTGCCACTCCTGCCCCTCACCACCAACCCCAGCAAGCCACACCGGGGACGTCCCCTGTCCCTGTGGTCCGTGCTGACACACGGGAGGCGGAGGGCAATGGCGGGGAAACAAGTGTGGCGGTCCGCTCACCAGCTGTGCAGCTGCACCTCGTAGGTACCGCCCTGGTTCTGGAAGCATTTGATTAGGATCCAGGAAAGCTTTTCTGCCATGGTTTTGCCAGCTCATCGGTTGCTCCAGCAGAGGCGCTGATTCCTAGGGGCCCTGCTCCGCCGTCTCCGTGACGCACCCAGGTGACCTCTTTGGACTCGTGGTTCTCAAGAACTTCTGCACCAGAGTTCCTGTGTGTGGCTGCTGTGTGCAGCTCACTGGGTAAGGCACAAAGATGGTCGTGTCAGAGGCCGGCCACACGGAGTTGCCCACTGAGAAGGGAAGGTGACACCCACGTACAAAGGTCCACACGCACAGGGACGAAAACGGCCCCTCCAGGGCTGCGCCGAGGCCCCCGGCACTGGGAGAAGCTGCCTGTGGACAGGCCCAGAGGACCGGGGTAACTCCAGGGTAACACTGAACAGCACTCTGTGCGGTGATGGAAATGCTCTAAACCTGTTCAACACGGT